TATCTTGTTTGTATTAATTAATATATTATATTATTAGAAATTTGTTTAAATTATATTATTAAAAATTTATTTGAATTATATTATGAACTATTTCTAATCGACTACTTTTTCAAGATGTTTTTTTTGGTCATTTTATAATTTACATGTTTATAAACTAGTTTTTGTCAAATATAATTTGTTCATCAACTATCTTATCAGTCATCAACCAACTTATCAACCATCAATAGTTTATTAGCCAGTTTGCCAAACATGACCTTAATGATCAGTTTTGTTGTAACTTGCAACTAATATCAAATCGATTATTAAAAGACATTAGTCTTAATCTAAATAATAAGACGATTAAACCACAAGGGTGGTACCTGATTGGTTCGAGCTTGACTCCAAAGGTTAAAAGTACTAGGACGTCTCAGGTTCAAATCAAAGGAGGAATAAAAATTCTCTTGTGGTCACGGAGGTTCAAATGCAGTGACTCCGAGCTATCTGCAAAGCAGGTGGTCGTCTTGGGATTAGTCGGYTCGTATAACGGGTTGGATATCCAGGTTAATAAAATAATAATAATAATAATAATAATAATAATAATAAGAAGATGATTACATACGAGAAACTAACTGAAACTAACTGATGTGACTTAAAGTTGCAACCATATAATCACTTTTAGCATGTGTTTAGAATTGAATGTGTTTATCCTAATTACAATTTTCTAATCATTACATGTGAAAATAATCAAGATAAAAGGTAAAATTATTTAACTTAGGGGCCGTTTACCAAATGCTTACTCAGATAAGTGAACATCAATTCATATTATCTTATCAGATGAATATGATATGAATCAAGAATCTTATCCAGTAAGAGCGAGACAAGGACCAATAATCTTATCCGGTAAGCGAGAGCGACGATTCTTACCATGGTAAACGTTTACCGGGTAAATTATTGCATACAATATCGTTTTGGTGAATTAAAATCTTACCGGGTAAGTAAATTATAGTGTTAAATTTTACCGATAAACGCTTACCGGATAAGTGTTTGGTAAACGGCCCCTTAAGCAATTGATCATCTAATTATTCTGATTCTAATTTTTCAAATCACAGTAAAAATAAATCTAATGAACTTATTACGTCATCCTCAAAAGTAGAGTTTAGGAGTAAAATATGTGTAAACTTTATCTCTATTCCAAAGGATAGACCGTAAAACGATTGTTTCTGTAAAAAACCATAAATACATGAATGAAAAGGAAATTACCAAACCACAAAGGTGATGCTTGATTGGTTTGAGCTTGGCTCCAAAGGTTAAAAGTACCAGGAGATCACATGTTCAAATCCAATTAGGAATACAAATTCCCTTGTGGCCACAGAGGTTCAAATGCGGTGACTCGGAGCTATCTGCAAAACAGATGATCGTCCTAGGATTAGTCGGCTCGCATAGCATGTTGGATATTCAGGTTAATCGAAAAAATGAAAAAGGAAATTACCACAGTAAGAATGTTTGTCCAAAAACCACTAAATTGAATACAAATTCCAAAAAGTGGAATAAGTGAAAAAGCAATTACTTTAGGGACCAAATTTGAAAAATCAAAACAATTGCTTTTTTCAGCCTTTCTCGTTTTCCTCAATAAAAATAAAGCCGAAGACGGTGGAGAATCCAACTGGAATTATAACACAGCGTTCCTCTCTCTCTCTCTCCCTTGAACTTTCAGGATTTTGGGTAAGAATCACTGTAGCCGTTCGCCATTACTGTTACGGTGCCATTTCAACCCTCAAAAGCTTCAATCAAGACATAAGGTCATCATCATCATCTCCTTCTACATCTTCGTAGTTCTGTTTCTAATGTTTTCATATGTATATCATGATGATTTCAACATTTGCATAAACGTTATAGTGTCGTACGATTGATTTTCGTTGCATTTTATCTACTGTGTCCGTTGGAGATAGCGCATTCTAATTTGGATCATTTTGGAGTATGATTTTCACCAGGTTTAGTAGCAGATAGGAATACGTTTTTGTTTCTGTTTCAGTTGTGTTGAAGTTGCATGTGTACAGATTAAATTGATATATTTAATTATTTTTGTTGTCGGAGAGATTCGCTAATTGGCTTGTTTAGTTTAATGGTGAAATTCTGAAATTGAATTTCTAGAATCTGTGTCCATGTTTATTATTATTCTAATTACAAATGTTCTTTTTGCGAACTTGAGTCTAGTTTTGGCACTTGATATACTTTGTGCACATTTTTGTTTGCAAGGTATTCTAGGTGCCGGTTGTTTCTTGGAATGTTGTAATATTTTGGGGGAATTGTCTGGAGAACTTAGCTGCTACTGGTTTCTAGGGTACTCATAATATTGTTGGATATGGTCCACATTTGGAAAGGAACAAGGTCCAGAGTCCAGATGTTCAGTTAGGGTGGCGATTTTTCTGTTAAACTTTTAGTCTGGGCTCTTCTCATAACATGAGTCAGTCTTCTTTCTTTGATGTGTTACATAAATTCACTGAGAGACTAGGAACATGGTATATGCAGGGAAATTGCTATTCCACATATACACAATGTCTTTAGTTGTTTGTATCCTGCAATCTACCATTGTGTATTTCTGTGTGATTTGTTTATCCTAACAAGCATTGGTACTTAGAGCCATATGAAGATTGGAAGGCTCTAAATTGTGTAGAACAGTCATGTTTGTCCTTGACTGAATTTAATCAGAATCCGGTGATTAGGAAATAAGAAATAATGTCTTAGTTATCATCATGTGATTACCCCATTTTGATCTTTGTACAAATCACAGGCCATTTGTGTAGTCCCTAGACATTACACAAACATTATACTGATTGCTGCGATTTTGTAGCTGTGGGATTTTCCTGGGTTTTATATATTGGAGTTGTGTGAATGTGGATATGGGGACCTCTTACAGATTTTTTTATTCTTCCACGCTGTAAATACTCATTGGATGGGTCTATGAGTTCTATACTTTTTTTGGAGGATATAACCTGCTTTATTATGCAACTATGTCTAGTGCTCATACAATTTTCATGCAATGATATTTCCAACTCATACCAAGGTTCTTTATCAACTATTTTCTGGCTGTAGCAGATCATCTCATGCCCAAATCTGTGTGGAGCCGATATTCAACTTCAGATCATCTTATTACATTACCTTATGGTGCGGGCATTCAATGAAACTCTTGCGCCTACTCTAATCAAATTTGAAAGGCATAGACTGCATATAGCCAAAGTTTTGATCCTCAAGTGCATAATTGATGCTTAGAACTTCTTCACTGGACTTTCCTGATTGCTTGTAAAACGTACTGTAATTACTCAAGGAGGTTTGTAGACATCGTGGAAAGAAGATGGAAGTTGACAGTAATGGACCAGAAACACGTGCTCTAACTCCATTGAGAATCTTAAGGGGTGTGTGTTGTTTACTGGTGCTGCTTTCAACAGCGTTTGTGATTTTGGTCTACTGTGGTTTTCTCACAGCTGTTATCTTGAGACTTTTTAGTATACATTACAGCAGAAAAGCAACGGCATTTTTCTTTGGCAGCTGGCTAGCTTTGTGGCCTTTGCTATTTGAGAAGATAAATAAAACCAAAGTAATTTTTTCTGGAGAAAGTGTTCCTGCAAGGGAGAGAGTGTTAATCATTGCCAACCACAGAACTGAAGTTGACTGGATGTACTTGTGGGATCTTGCCTTGCGGAAGGGACGTTTAGGATACATTAAATACATTCTCAAGAGCAGTTTGATGAAGCTGCCTGTATTTGGTTGGGCATTTCAGATTTTGGAGTTCATTTCGGTGGAGAGAAAGTGGGAGGTAGACGAGTCACCTATGCGCCAGATGCTTTCAACCTTTAAGAATCATCAAGATCCTCTTTGGCTTGCTGTTTTTCCTGAGGGCACTGACTTCACGTAATGCCTATTTTATACTCTCTTAAATTTTCTAGGTGATGTGATAAGAGGCATGTCTTTTTGAGGATATGAATGATATCTGTAAGAATTACGGAGATGTCAAAGTTCATGTTGAGATGCCCTCAAGTATATCCCATCACATCATCAACTATGCCACTTGATATTGCTTGGTTCTTGTTTACTATTTATGTATATATTATATATTTATATATTTATTCCATTTCAGTGAACAGAAGTGCATTCGTAGCCAGAAATTTGCTTCTGAAAATGGGCTACCTATTTTACATAATGTCCTGCTCCCGAAAACAAAGGGTTTTGCTGCCTGTGTGGAGGAACTGAGGGGCTGCTTGGATGCAGGTGCTCGGCTCTTCTAATTTCTTTAATTTTCCATCTGCTCTTAATTACAGTGATGCTTTGAGTTTGCCTGTAATATACGAATTGAAAGTTTGTGTTGTTACTGATCATGGTCTTGTGCGCTATATTCGAGAAAGTTCATGTGTATCACCATAACCATAAGCCTCTAAAAGCAATTGACTCATAGGGACACATGACAAGCAGGTTTTCACTTTTCCCTATATGTTAAAAGTGGGCAAGTTTTGGTTGAATTTATTTAGATGATACTGAAGGCTATGTGGTTCTTGGAAGTGCCGATTATTTGTTGGAGCAGTGGGTGGACATCTTTTTGTTTTCCATGCTTATCAAAATGTTTAGCTCTGCGTGGTCAGCTTGCTTGTCATTAAGTTACGTCTCAATGACTTGATCAGTGGGCCTTCTATTTGTCTTCTACAATCATGTCTAGATGGAAAACAAGGAATTTTTATTCTAATTTCAAGAAAGTTTCACCCATTTCTTAACCTCGTTTCCGGTTAAAATCCCAACATACTGGTTTCAGCTTTTATCATATTTTCACCTCTAAAAAGAGCTCCCTACTCAAAAGGCAATAAGCTTTTAGGCAACTCATTTTGAGATTGCTTGTGTAAGAATTTGCTTAGGTATATGATATCCATTTACAAGAAGAAATATTTAAAAGCATTACATACTTTAGTTGCTTGGATCGAAAGTGGAAACATTGATTGCAGGGAGTATAGCTGGAAATATGCTGCCTGCTCTTTGGAGAGTATTTTCCTTTTTGATCAACTTTTCTGTGGTCATGTGTTTTTACTTTTTAAACATGCAGCTAAATTTGTTTTCTTTCTGATATTGCAGTTTATGACATCACCATTGGCTACAAATACCGTTGCCCAACTTTCTTAGATAATGCCTTCGGCGTGGCCCCATCTGAAGTTCATATCCATGTTCGGCGTATTATCGCAAACGACATCCCAGCATCTGAAGAAATGGTTGGTTCTTGGTTAATGGATACATTCTCCAGAAAGGATAAATTGCTCGTAGATTTTCAGTCGCGTGGCTGTTTCCCTCACCAAGGAACAGAAGGAGATCTTCCCACTATATCGTGCCTAGTTAACGCTTTTGGAGTAATCATCTTTACCTCCATCTGCATGTTCTTAACCTTTTTCTCATCTGTCTGGTTCAAAGCATACATAGTCTTGGTGTGTGCATATCTAGGATCAGCTACCTACTTTAATATCCGACCGGATCCTATTTTTGCCTTGTGAAAGCTCGCTTTATGTATCCAATAGACAAATTGTTGGAACCAATATCTGGTTCGATAATAATATGGGTATCTCCACCCACCGTCTCTATATATCTTCATTAGTGATTGTAGCACAGTGAGCACAGACTCCCCTAGAAAGCAATTTATCTAATAAGGTGCAACTAATCGATCAATAACCTTGTGGGCCAGCTCAACAGACAAATAGAGACTTGTCCCCACACCGGTTTGACTGTCCTCTGGGTCACTAAGGATTTACATGTCTCTTATCTTTAGGGCCCCATGGGATTAGTCGAGGTGCACGCAAGCTGACTTGGACACTCACGGCTACCCTCGAAGTAAAAACCAATCGATGAATAAAAGGTCAACCAACCGGAACACACCCTATAGCAACCATAGTAGTGATTAAGATGGACCTCTTCCAATTGGATGGTGAAATCCTGAATTGTTTAGGATTCAGTCGTTTTAGCTTTGGTAAAAGATTTGTCCTCATTAGAACCATGCTGAAACACTAGAAAAACGACCAAAACATCACTAATGGACCAGTAATAGATAACTTCGATTCAAATCAAATGATTAAAAACTAGAAATTAATATGTGAATGAAGAAACTAAGCTAAAGAAAAAAGGTTCAAGACTAGGCCTTTCTCTATAAACAGCAAATTTCAACATAGATTATTCGGTTATTCTTCATCAAAGCATAAAACGTAACTGCTAATCCTACATAAAACTTAAAATCGAATGAACACAGTTGTAATTAATGGTTCTAATAATGGCTATTTGGTGGCTTAATGATTCTCTGCAAGACCACCGTTCTTGCTCTTCGGATATCGCGGGTGCAATTGTCCGCCTGCATTCCTAGCTCATCTACATTCTTCATAAATGACTTAAGCTTTGCCTTGATCTCTTCGATCCCTTGTTTCACCAATTCATCTCCCTCAATTACATACTCGGCATTCCTCATAAGATCCTCAATATCCATCTCCAGCCTATCAACAAGAACCCGAATCGTATCCAGGTCTCTGATTGCCACACAACCCCCCACTTGCATGGAGCTGATGACTTCCTTTTGCCCCTTAATGGCATCCTCATAGTTTCTCAAAAGGGAGTTGATCCATTTTCCCATTGAACCAAGTGGAATGGCGGTAGCTGCTGCGAGCGCAGCAGCCACAGGTGGTGCCGCCATGGCAGCCGCCACCACAGAACATATCAAAACAGCTGCAAACGTAGCCACAAATATCACATTACACACTTTCCTCCATGTTCGGATAGACTTCACCTTTTTATCCAGCTTTACTTTCTTTATTTGTAGCTTCTGGAGCAAGACCATCTGTTGCCGGTAAACCGAACGAAAAATCTCAAAGAAATCCTCCGTAAACGGATCTCCGGCATCCTTAAAATCCTTCAAATTCTCCAGTGTCTTCTCATACCTATTCTCTTCCACACCATCCTCATCCTCAAAATGCTGCAAAGCAACAAGAATCATCAGCTGATTGTCTCGTACCCTTTTCAAACATCTCTCCAACGCCGAGCAGAAATCGAGCGTTTGCAGGCTGTTATCGAAATACTCTTCCACCAAATCAAACAACTCCGGATTATTCCAAATATCTTTCTTACAATTCAAAATCACCTTCACCACTTCTTGATTCATTTCCAACAAGCATCCCGTCACTTCCTTGAGCGAATCAAATGACATCGCCCTCACCTGAACTCCCGTAGCCAAAGTAGTGATCACATTATTCGCTCGAGCTTGCAAGATCGTATCGAAGGACTGCAACTCGACATCTGATCTGCAGGCAGCTTCGTATGAATTAAGCTCTGAAGAAAAGCGATGGGTAGAAGATACAATAACCGATTTCTTGCTAACATGAGCTCCCATTTCAACACCAAATCCAACAAGATATCGAAATCGTAAACCCAAATTTCAGTCAGTCAATAACACAAACAGGTAAACCGCAACAAACTCAAATCTGAGGTAGACAATAAGAGGAATATAAAGATGAAAAACCTGTAAGAAAGAGAAGGAGAAGAAGAAGAAGAATATGAAGGGGATAAAGATGGAAGGAGTGATAATAGCTTGCACGCATGAGTTATAATGATTTGAGATGGAAAAGGCGGGAAGCAAGTAGAAGCGCCATGGCCATGGGAGCTTGGAGATGTATGGGAGTAAAGCAGTTGCGAAAACGCGCATTGAAGGTTCAAAAGGCTGAGAAACTTGAGCTTAAAGACAGGAAAGGAGGTAGGGAGGGAGTCTTGTATTTCTTCCCCCCAGATTACTAAAATACCCTTTCCTCATTCTAGAACGTGTTTTGGCAAAATAAATAGCAAGTGCTCGTAGTTTACTGAACGCTTACCCGGTAGCTGACATTTACCTTACTGGACAAGAACTGAGAATCTTACCGGATAAGCACTTAACACGTAAGTTGTTGCATATAATGTTGTTTTGATGAAATTACAATCTTACTTTGGGAATGTTAACTTAGCCTAAATCCAAAGTTAGTATGTGACTATTTATATCTTAAAAATAAGATTGGCTTAATACGTTTTGGAGTTTGCCAAAATGATCCAATTATAAAATCATTAAATGAGGTTACTTAACCTTTAAATTAATGTCACTTGTATTAAAGTCGATATAGACATTGGAAGTTAATTTCTCTCAAAAGTTATCCATTTTTTAATAGAAAAAAGTCGAATAGATGATTTCGATTGAAAGCGTTAAAAATAGCATTTTAACTAATATTGATCATCTTTAATCAGTTGGTCGGTGTTAACTTTTAGATATACGATATTTAACATTTAACTAGAATTATTTTTATATCAATTAGTTATGGTTTTGGGTTTAGGGTTTAAGTAAATTAGTTAGATTCATTTTTTTATATCTTAGTTGATTTTGTAATACATAAAACAGTTTTAGTAAATGATCATTCATAAATTCAAACTCTCAATTCTACCAACACACTTAATCGTTTGTTTAGATTATATGAGTTAAAGTGAGGGTCATCCTTATCTTTTAAAGTATACTTAATTATTATATTCATAAAAAATTATATTATTACGTTAAAAATAAACTACTTCGTTATTAAACCTAAATTAAAGTATCTATACTATATTATAAAGAATTTGACAAATATTTTTAAAAACTATTTTTTATGCATGAAGTACCGTTTATTGATGCATATTACTTAAAATTTCATATTACAAATAAATTGTGCGTAATTATTAAAGCTCCATGTTTGAATTCGTGTAACTAACTACAAATAAACATAATCAACTACAGGATAAACATATCATTTTAAATATAAAAAATTTAAAATATAATTAAGATAATCATGAAGTTATAACAAAACATGTAATTATTATGTTTATAAAAAATTCAAAAATTAAACCAAAAATAAATTACTTATAACTTGTTAATTAATGTTTTTTAGAACCTTGAACTCACACCGATGTCAAAGAGCAAATATAGGGGCCGTGTATTTGTTATTCGCAAGTTTAAAAGTTGACACAAAGATTTATAGAACTAAAATGCCAAACATATTGAATTTCTGAATATATTTTCAAATTACTTAAACCACTTAAAATTGTTGGACAAGGGAAAAGTTGAATTGAATTGAATTGAAAATGAACCGAGTTGAGTCGAGTTTGAACTCAACTTAATGGTGTTGAGCGAGTTCTAACTCATGGAATCTTTGAGCTCAAATAACTCCAAAATGTCAAAGCATAAACATTCTTGAGAGATACCTATCAAAACCATATATTCTACAAAGTAAGCTTAATTTGAGTTCAACCAAAAAATATTAAAACATGCATAAGACTCAAAAATCAGATAAATTTTTTTAGATCCAATTGTTGTAAATTGAAACTTGACTCATTATATTTTTCAAGCTTATTTTTGTAGTCCAACTCGATAGAGTTCGACTCGACAAGTTGGAATCGAGCTCATACTCACACGTAGCAATCGACAACAACTCGATAAAGTTCAACCTAACAAGTTGGAATTGAGCTCAAACTCAAATGTAGCAATCGATAACTCGTGTGCAAAATTTGGGCTAAGGCCCAAATCTCTGTGCAACTAGTTCTTCTCTTTTATATATTACAAAAATTAACTACCTTACACATCAATCGAAAAAATGAAAAAAAATCATAATTTCTTCATCGACTGACACTATCTTGATATCAATTTAACCTCATTTTGCCAAAAACGGACTATGTCGACGTGCAAATGTATTTCAAACATTTTGTAAAATCTCAATCGTTGTTCTCTGTTTACACCTTAATTTGTCCATTTAATTTATATGTTTGGTATATATTTCAGTTTTCAAAAGCTCATCAAATTCACAATAACCGTCATGACCTCAAATGGTTAATCACCTTACACGACGAATTAAGACTTGTTAAATATGCCAGCTAAAAATATTAAGACTTTGCTCATCGAGGTTTCCTTGTGGATAGATCATACCAAAATACCCCCACCATTTTGATGGTCAACTGTTCAAGAAAACTAAATCTCATTTAACCCCATTTGCCGAATAGGGACCATCTCGGCGTGCACTCGTTTACGTCTTACGTTATTCCTTTAATTTATCTTTTAAAAGGTTTACAACAAAATCAACTCAAACCCACATTGTTTTGTTTTTGAAAATATATAACATTGATAAAGGCCATGTCGGCCAACCGTGAGGTAGCTTCTGAAAAAAACCTTGCTTTTATCAGTCATAACCTAGCTTATATAAAACTACTTCAAATAGTATTTCAGTAAGCTTCAAGGGTTCTCTCCACGTTTTTTCAATCATGCCCTTCATAATTTTCCAATTAAATTTTGGTATGTTCTTTTAGGTCACATTTCAATCCTCAAAACTAAATTTTTAAATTTCGAAATCTCAAATATTTATTCCGTAACCAATAACTTTGAGCTCAAATCGACTCAGTCTCGTTTTTAACAAAATTACACACACGACGTTTATATACATTTGAGATAAAAACAACTTCTAAAATAAAGCATTGTACGCTAGTTTTAAGCTCAAATTCCACTAAGGTGCCGTTTACCAAACGCTTACCCGGATAAGTGCTTACCAAATCACTTTACTTTACTGGATGAATATGACAATGACTAAAAATCTTACCCGGTAAGAGCGAAGGCAAGAACCGAGAACCTTACTCGGTAAGTGAGAACGAGGACTCTTACCATGGTTAGCGCTTACCGGGATAAATTGCTGCATACGATGCGTTTTAGTGAATAGAATCTTACCTGGTAAGTAAGCGATAGTGTTGAATTTTACCGGTAAGTGTTTAGGTAAATGGTCCCTAATTTTGTTCGACCACTATACTGGTGGATTGTTGAAATTCGTCAACCTGTGACCACAATAGATAGCGGGTCCACACTATCTACTAGACCGATCCTTATACTATATCAAACCCAATCAATACAAAAGTTCTCTACATCTGCTTTTTTTCAACGCATTTCTTTAGAAAAAATCACAAACAACGGTACAATATTTTACCTTCAACACGTTCCATCGTAATTATTTATGGTACAAGTGTTTTTTTATGCAAAATGGTCGATTGTCCCTTGGCTTCGTTTTCATGTAAATGTGATGAATCAACGACTCTACAACCTTTAATTAAGCCACATAAACGATCACCCCGAAAATTTTAAAAACATGCCCTCATGTTTGAGGGTTTGGCATTCGGTCCCCTCAACTTTGAATTATAACATTTGTCTCTTGGTTTCTTTCTGTCTTAATAGAAACATTGTTTCTTGATTACAAAAACCACATCAAAATTCTATACAGAACTTGAAAAACCATGTTTTAGATTGAAACTTTTGTTATCTGTTTGTTGACATGTCTCAGATACAAAGTGAACACGCATACAAAATTCAATTTCTGGGTTTTTAAGATTATTCTAAAAGGTTTAAACTAGTTCGAAACAAACATGTCACGTTGTTTATCAACTTCATGACATATACAGACGTGCATCATATACACGCTAATGACTTATTATCCAGGTTTACAAAGAGTGATGGCTTGCAGCTTATTTTCGTGATATGCAAATCGCTGTTTACATGTGTTTCAGTGAATAAAATCGCATTTTTCGTAATTATGTGCTTTTCCCAAATTTTATACGTATTTATTTACTTAATGTTAAAGGATAAATGATGTCTTTGTACTGGATCTACGTCAAACATTCTTCCACCACTCATTTCCTTTTGCAACTTGTAAAGAACACCCAAAACCACGTTCTTGTTTTTCAATCATATTATAAGTATATAATTACGAAAACCGTGATTTTTAACTTTTATTATATGTCTGTTATCAAATTCCCAGTAATTTGTTATTCAAAAGACATACCATATCTATTTAATAGCAATTTCTAACACAATATTGATGTCTAAGAGGCCGTTTACCAAATATTTATCCGGTAAGTGTTTATCAAGTTACATTACCTTACTGATGAATATGACAAGAATCAAAAATCTTATCCGGTAAGAGCGAAGATAAGGACCTAGAGTTTTGCCCGATAAGTGATGATGACGACTCTTACCACGATTAGCACTTACCGGATAAATTATTACATACGATATCGTTTTGGTAGCTTAAAATCTTACCTGTAAGTAAGTGATAATATTGAATGTTGTGGATAAGCACTTGCTCAAGTAAAAGTTTGGTAAACGGGCCCTAACATTGTATTTTCGTGGATATACATTTAAAATGGAATCTTAGACTTGTAAATTGGTTGATAAATTACTAGATAATAATAATAATAATAATAATAAAAGTATTATTTATATTTTATTGTAAAGTTTTTTGACAAAAACTCTTAAAAATCATTTTCTATGGATAAAATGTTGTTAATTAATGTATAACTAACCCCAGATATACATAATCAAATACACGATAAAATCTCATTTTAAATACAAAAAATCTAATATATAATTAAAATAATCATTGAGTTCTAACAAAATACTTAATTATTATATTTAAAAAAATTATGTCATTACACCAAAAGTAAATTCCTTTGTTATTAAACATAA